GTAATGCTTACTGGAGCGTCTGCATAGTCCGTGTCTCAGGAGTGAGTGAATGATGAGCTAGCAGGTCCTAATGATCTTGATCATCAGGTCACATTGTTTCAAAATTTGGTGCTCGGACAACGGTCGCAGAGTCGCAGGGACTATAGAAGTGAGTTATGCGTGCGCTCTTTACTGTTAATTGCTGTGCGCTGAGCCATGTCATTGTTGGTGAAAATTGGGGTGAAAGTTGTATGGTGTCATATTTTGAGGAAGGGAAGTGCAGGCTGATTGGCCAAGTCTCCATGATCTGTCGTACATGGTGGGTGGGTCATTGCCTGTCGTATTTCGAAGATTATCGTCGCAGCCAGGGATTGAAGAGGGTTGGGTCGTCCATGTGTATGGTGACTTCAAAGGTGTGTCGTCAAGTGACTAGGTCATTATCTTAGTGGTTATATATTGCATGTAGGCGATTGCAGTAGTTCTACACTGAGGGATTGGCGCATTGAGTGAAGCTACTGGGCTAGAAGGGAGTCCTGACATAAGTTGCGGCGGTCTGAGGATGTCTATGAGACTCGCGCACATCCGGCCAAGATTCAGCTAGCAGACAAGGAATGGTTAGACAGAGTGGGTTCATGCAGGATGGCTGTCTATGCTGTCCAGAGTGAAAGTCTTGGTTCGCTGATCAGACCATATGACTGAGGTTAACAGCGGTCTCCGGTGTATAGAGTGTATCGTGAGTGGATCGAGCTTCTTACGGTTGGGCCAGGGGGGGCAAGTCCTCTTAATGCATCTCATTTTTATAGGTCGATGCCCAATCCTTCAATCGTTAAAGCGGAGCTAGATAGGCTGAGAGATTGTCTCTTTTCTTGCTATGGGTGGCATTGGAAGCCGTAAGGATGTGGTTCACGCGATGCTTTCCAGGACTTAGTGCTCATAGATGGCGTTGCGGCTATTGCGATAGCAAACTAGGAAAGCGGGGTGGTGGCAGTTATTGCCGTCTGGGCGTAAGGTGAGTTTGCAGTTATGAACATCAACGCGCTTCTTCACATTGCAATGAGACTCCTCGCTTATAACTATTTCATCACGAGATGCTACTGTATATGCGAGATAGTAAGATTTGTAGTCTAGCCACTTGTCAATCATCTGTGGTAGTCAAGAACAAGGTGAGATCGATACACAAAAATAAATGAAAAAAAAACAAATTTAAGGTGGGGTCATGGGGAGCTGTCATTGTGCTTAAGTTTGGTCTTTATCGTCAGATGTTGGATGACATAGTCGTTTATGAAGATTAAGCATGGTTACTGCTTTTACTAGTTCACTTTGTACACAAGTCCGAGAAGAGCACCCATTCTTTTTCAGTGTCAGATGATATTATTCTAGCCTCGGTTGTCGGTGGTACTCTTTATTTGGGCAGTTCGCACGCGGAAACAAAAAAGGTTAGGTTGATAGAGTCTGCTAAGGCGGCGTAACATCGAGCGACGGTCAGCGATAAAGCTCCGGATCAGAGCTAGGTAGTGGCACTCCGAGACCTCCAAAGGTTTAGAGACCTTCAATACTATAAAGTGTTGTCTCGATGACTGCAAGGTCCCGCCCCGCGCTTGCGGTTAGGAGCTACAGGTCATGCGAAGTTTGGTCCTGATCAGTCATTGGATAAGGTTGAGAGCGGTCTCAGAATGTGAGTGGTGGTACTGCAAGTCCCATCATCCATGGTTCATAGTCCTCCAAACTGCAGTAGGATGTAGAGGGGGTGATGGGGGCTCTGTGTGCCTATTTCGATCTGTATTGGGAGTGTTCTGACCCAGGCCCCCGGCCTTTCCTTTCCTCTCTTTCTCATCTCGGAATGTTGGATTTGAGGCTGGCCAATCAGAGACCATATGCAAATTTCCTTCTGTCATGCCCCGTTTCTGCCATGAACCCTCTTCTCCACCAGGGGCTCCTATTGAAGCTGGCCAATCAGAGACCATATGCAAATAGCACCACAGCGGCAGCCAATCAGAACGCTGCCACATACACCGCCCTCCCTCCACAATTCTGTCCGATACAAACACTCTTCTTTATTATATATAGATATAGATATAGATATAGATATAGATATAGATATAGATATAGATAAGTGTGTAGATACAGAGCAGAGAATAATGGTTTTAGGAGAAGACAATACTGTCAGATGGACAATTGAGGTCATTCTGGCAACAATGTATTTTACAATTCCACTGTGTGGTTAAGAGAAAAGCTTTGCTGGACTAGAATTGTAATGATTATCCTTCCTCTTGCTTTCATTAAAGCAGATTGTTTCTAAAATAGTTTCAACAAGGTGGCCAAATGACACTTTATTGTCCCCACAGCGCATTTGCTAATCAAACAACATTGCTGAACTTGCTGACTGAAAGATTGGTGGTTTGAATCCGGGGAGCGAGGTGAGCTCCCGCAATTAGGCCCTGCTTCTGCCAACCTAGGAGTTTGAAAACATGCAAATGTGAGTAGATCAATACGTACCGCTTCTGTGGAAAGGTAACGGTGCTTCATGCAGTCATGCTGGCCACATGAGCTTGGAGGCGTCTCCGGACAGCGCTGGCTCTTCAGTTTAGAAATTAAGATGAGCCCCACCTCTCAGAGTCAGACACAACTAAATTTACTGTTAAGGGAAACTTTTACCTTTTAACATTAAGACATTGGAAAGTTTCCTTTTAAAAAGCACACACACACTCACCCAGATCAGAGTTTTTACTATTGTTGCATTTACAGGCTTGACACAGCAGTCCTTAGAAGTGCCAGTTGTTCAAGAAAGAGGAAGAATAATCAATTTTAAGCATTTGTACATACCTGTTCCAGAATGTGTCACCAGGGGGAGCAAAAGGCCAAAATGTTGCTTATTTTCCTCCATTTTGGTCCTGTTAGGTACCTTCTTCTTTACATTCGAGTTTCATTTATCTTTAGCACTGTTTACGGTATATGCATTTATCCATTTTAAGCAAAGACAGATTTTTAGTAACCACATCCCAAAAATCAGAGCCAAACTTATATCTTTCTATAACTTTTAGTGTGCTACAAAAATGCTAAGGAACCAGGCTGCAAAATCACATTGAGGTTCAGCTATCAGTCAAAGGAAGACATGTCACTGCAGAAGAGTCTTTTAGCTGTGAGCGCCTGAACATGTTGCATTCTAGCAAATGAACTGGGTCTGAATTTGTTTTCCTCTTGTGTAATTTCAGGTTTATGATTAATTCGATATTCATTCATTCATTCATTCTCCTTAAAGTAAAGGTAAAGGTATCCCTTTGACGTTAAGCCAACTCGAGTCCGACTCTGGGGGTAGTGCTCATTTCTAAGCTGAGCTGGCGTTGTCCCTAGACGCCTCCAAGGTCATTTGGCCGGCATGACTACATGGAGCACTGTTACCTTCCCGTTGGAGTGGTACCTATTGATCTACTCACATTTGCATGTTTTTGAACTGCTAGGTTGGCAGAAGCTGGGGCTAACTATGGAAGCTCACCCCGCTCCACAGATTCAAACTGCCGACATATTGGTCAGTAAGTTCCGTAGTCCCTGGATCTCTATGACTGGAAATAAAACTACTATAAATTACTCAATTTACATAAGATTTGTTCCTAATTAAGACAAAGAATTAGGGATCCTCCTCATCCAGAAATACGTATTTTCTTCTACAAGAAAGCTCCCAGAAAATAAACTATGGCGAAAGATACTTAACAAAAAGGCACTTGTTCCATAATAAGTCAAATAAACAAAATACTTTATACATTCCACAAAACATTCTTTTTACTAGACAGGTAGCCAGCAAAGCAGACTGGTTCAGCAGAAATCTGGATTTGGCTACATTTCAAATATCTGAATGAGACGTGATATGTGGATACATGAGTAAAGGAACCTATTTTGATATTTATTTTTGCATATATAAATATTGACAAAGGCCACTTATATAACAGGTTGCCATGAGGATAAAAACAGTTGCTATCAAACAGTCTAGAGCTTTTGAGTGTGGCTAATACTGGCACGATTCCTTTGGGGCGGCAGCTATGTTTCGGAGCACAAACCAAACATAACCCCAAACAATTTGAGGAATGCAAATCACACTTGTCTGATACGAGGGTTGCACATGACTTCTGGAGCCTGGTATGGCTTGGAGTCACAGGTTCAGCCGATCAGAACATGACTAAGTCGCTTCGAGAAAAGTGATCTGAAATTTGTCATAAACAGGACTACAGATTCTTCAGAGTATATTGCCTTCCTCTGTCATATACACTGGTATAAACTCATTTTGTTTAGTGCAAGCAGTAGCCAAATCATATAACAATTTATCTAGTGGAGGCTATTTATTTATTTATTTATTTATTTGTCATCTCAGGAACGAACCAAGCGCACAGTTGTAATGTATTTAAAAACACAAAGTTTAAAAACTTGGAATTATATTAAATGCCATTTGACCAGAAGCTGGCCACATCGAGCGCCTCTGGTGTTGCTGTAAGAAGGTCCTCCATTGTGCATGTGGCAGGGCTCAGGCTGTATTGTAATAGGTGGTCTGTGGTTTGCTCTTCTCCGCACACATATTGTGGACTCTGCTTTGTGTCCCATTTCTTAAGGTTGGCTCTGCATCTCGTGGTGCCAGAGCGCAGTCTGTTCAGTACCTTCCAAGTCGCCCAGTCTTCTGTGTGCCGGGGGGGGGGGGGGTGTCTCTCATTTGGTATCAGCCATTGGTTGAGGTTCTGGGTTTGAGCCTGCCACTTTTGGACTCTCGCTTGCTGAGATGTTCCTGCGACTATCTCTGTAGATCTTAGAAAACTATTTCTTGATTTAAGTCGTTGACGTGCTGGCTGATATCCAAACAAGGGATGCGCTGGATATGTCACTGCCTTGGTCCTTTCCCTATTGGCTGCTACTTCCCGGTGGATGTCAGGTGGTGCCCTAAACAGTGTAATTTCTCCAGTGGTATAGGGCGCAGACATCCCGTGATAATGCGACATGTCTCATTAAGAGCCACATCTACTGTTTTAGCGTGGTGAGATGTGTTCCACACTGGGCATGCATTCTCAGCAGCAGAGTAGCAAAATCACCAATAACTAAATAATAATGAAATTTTGAAAGTTTTGGTAGAGTTCTGAAATTTTCACCACCAGAACTTTAGCAACATTGTTGAAGCAAAGCACCAGCACCCCCTAGTTTTGTAAGTTCTTCAGAACCATGGATTGCCCATGCCTAAGTGGTAAGGAGAGTATCCCAGGAGCACTAGAACTTCCCCCAACTCAGAGAAATGGCTAGCGGCTAAAAGTAGGGAAATGATAGGGGATTAAAAATCCACATCCTCTCTGTCTTTCTACCACATCCCCAAATACCCTCCTCCCCACACTGGATTTCTGATTTGGGATGAGAGGCTAGGTAAGAATGTCTGACATACAATCTTTTCACCCAAACTTTGTCCAAGATCTTGGAAGCGCAGAAAAAGCTTCTTTCTGGCATACATTTCCAGGACCACTGTTTAAAGTAACTTTTTTTTTTATTACAGGTAAGTTTTCAACTTTGGGAACTTCATTATGAAAATAGAACACATTGATTTACATGGATGTGTACAGGTTCCTCCCACACTTGCTATGTTATACATAGTTTTGCAGACCATACAAAGTATCACGGCATGTCTACCACAGTCTATAAATGTAAGGTAACTTCAAAAAGGTATCAAAACTCAAGTCTACAGCAATTATTAGACTGAAAATGCTGCCACAAATGGGTGCAAGTTGACTTCCTAATAGTCATGGTTCAGTTGAAAGTTTGCTAGACTTCTTTCTTCTTTAGTATTAATGGACCCACGTTGTCACCTGTTGATTCATTATGCTTATTGTGAGAGCCATCACAAACAGGGAACTGAAAATAGAGAGGAACAAATAAATGAGAACAATGTTTGGGACCCAGTGTTAAGACAGTGGTTATGGTTAAGAGACAGACTTTAACCAGATGATTGCATGTCTTTAATAGTTACAAGTGAATGCACTAAATCAGAGCTTTCCATACTGTGTGTCACAACACATTAGTGTGCCAACTGCAGTGTGCCTATGTGTGCCACATGAACATAACAACAAACCCCCGAGCCTATCTAAAATAAGCAAAACATTATAGATTTTAAAACATATAAATGAAAAATTTTCATGAGATATGTTTTGTCTCCATATATTTTGTTATTACAATTTATGTATGTGCTTGTATCTTATAAGGAGTTGGTTCATCCTCTAGGTTGCTCATGAATTACCGTGCCATGAAATGATGCATGTCTAAAAAACAGGGGGAATCACAAAAATTTCCTGTTTGGAAAGCTCTACATCAAAAAAACAGTAGGCTTGAGCCCAGATCCGTTTTTATCTTTTCCTTTCAGCCAATCCGGCTTCTCCGTTCTGTTCCGGTGCCCGTAACACCAAGGGCCGAGCTGTCAGGGCTTCCTATCTGAAAAGGGACCACGTGGCAGCCGATCACGGCTCCTCCTCCCCTATTTGGCATCGCAGCTGAATCTTTTTTATTTTCCTTTATTTTTCTGATCCTTTTTATTTAGTGGGACTGACTGGAAATTGGGGACCTGAGGGACATTGGGTGGGGTGCACATGCATATTGGAAGACTCGGAGTCACCCTTTTCGCTTCTTTTTCTCCTTCCCTTCCTCTTCTTCAGAATATACTTCTAAAAGATAATAATTATTATTAATAATAGTAATCCTAGCAAACAAAAAGAGAAGCCTACCTCTCCTCTAGAGTAGAAAGTAGAAATAGCTTTAAAGAAGGAAAAACCAAGCAGAAAGGAGATTCCAGACAGTAAAGAAAACAGGGGATTTTTAAGGTAATCCAGGGAGGATACCTTAGGACTGCTCATTGGAGGGAAGGATACTAGAGACAAAATGGAAGTACTTTGGCCATATCATGAGGAGACAGCAAAGCCTAGAGAAGACAATTATGCTGGGGAAAGTGGAAGGTAAAAGGAAGAGGGGCCGACCAAGGGCAAGATGGATGGATGGCATCCTTGAAGTGACTGGACTGACCTTGAAGGAGCTGGGGGTGGTGACGGCCGACAGGGAGCTCTGGCGTGGGCTGGTCCATGAGGTCACGAAGAGTCGGAGACGACTGAACAAATGAACAACAACAGGGAGGATAGCTCCACTGAACTCTAGGCCATCGCTCTTCCTTTCCTGGGCCTCCTTAAAATGGCTTGGAAAGCGTGCTGCTGGTGCTGGGAGAAAAAGCGTGTTTCTGCCTCTCCTCTAGAGTAGAAACAGCTTACAGAGACATTAAACCCAGTCTCATCTACAAACAGAAGGGAAAGGATCCAGAAATGCTTTTTTAAAATCCATGTTTTAATGAAGGKTATGGAAAGGGAGCTTGCGGGAAGTCCCCCCCCCCCCCATTGCTGARACCCAGGCTCCCTTGAAGGAAAGAAATGAAAGGCTCCCAAGAAGGGTGCTTCCTTATGCAAAAGCTTTGGAAGAAGTTGCTTGCTGTTGTGTGTGTGTTTTTTAAAAAATTAGTAAATAAAGTGTAATAGTGGGCTGTGTGGTGTGGAAGTGCATCTTTGACATTTTCCAGGAAGGAATGGTGCCCTCCCTGCTGCTGTTTCTGGAGAAGTTATGAGGGCAGGGCCAGCCGGAGTGGGGGGGGGGGTAGTACCATTTGGGGATTTTTTTAAAGGGGAGTATTTCTAGAAGGAAAAAAAAGTCCTAAAAATCAAAGGATGACCCAAARGTTTTGAAACTTGGTAGGCTAACAGTGGTAGATGTGCTCTCCAAGTGTGGTGATTTTCAACCTGCTAAAAATGAMGGGAAGGGGAGCCTGGGAAGCCCGTCCATTGCTGCCAATGGACCAAAAATAGCCAGTCGGTCGGCAGCGAAAAGAAAACTCTCTTTCAGAAGTGCACCCATTTTCAGGAGGTGTGCAGAAACGGATATGAGCATCTCCCGGTATCCAGCAAACAAATGGATCGAGATTCACCCTTAATACACAAGTCTAATACACAGCCGTCAACTTAGTTAGGAGACACAAGAGGGATCTAGGTTGGGGGATGTCAGGACACTACCTTAAAAGACTGAAAAGACATACAGCATATTTAAAACAGGAGTGAGTAATACACTGTTTTTTCTACACTACAGTTGCAGCTCAATTTCCAGTTAAATGCTCTCTTCACTTCTCTGTGTTGCAAGAACCTGCTATTTTTTCCACTATAAGCTGTGGTATCCATTTTCAGTCTTCCCTAGAGATTTTTCTCTCCCCTTTTACACGGAGCTCTTCTGCTCCTGATTCCATTTCTGTTGCAATGAAATAATCATGCATCACACACGTGTTTCATTCACTATAAACTACTTGAATAATTGGGACACACGTGCTCTATCCAAGCATTACATTAAAAATCACAGCCAAGGACATCTTACTAGAATTTGACTTGAGGTGCAAATAAATAAACCATGGCTTGTGACTGCTAAGTCAGATAGGAAGCTAAGCTCTAAGTGGGTTTGGCAAATACAGTTTGTGCTAGCTATGATCTGACATTTCACTCCAGAGACCACTGCATCTGGAAATGCAAAAGCATAGTAAGGTTAAAGGTTTTCTCTGGCATTAAGTCTATTCATGTCCAACTCTGGTGGGTGGTGCTCATCTTCATTTCTAAGTTGAAGAACTATTGCAACGCCTTATATGCCGTCCTTCCAAAGTCAACAACCCAGAAGATTCGGATGGTCCGAAATGCGGCGGCTAGGCTGCTAGCAGGATCATCTATAAGATCCCATATTATACCGATTCTGCAACAACTGCATTGGCTACCAACACAACATCGTATCTCTTAAAAGATACTGATCCTGACATTTAGAGCTCAAAATGGTCAAGGACCTTTGTATCTTAGGGACCGCCTTATTCCTTTTTTCCATTAGTAATCACCTCGATCCACCCAGGAAAATCTCCTATACATACTAGGCCCTAGAGAGGTACACCTGGAAGCTACAAGGTGTAGAGCTTTTTCGATCTATGCTCCAATTCTGTGGAACTCATTGCCTCCATATGTTAGAGCAATGTCGGAGTTGCAACCTTTTGTAAAGAGCTCAAGACTTGGCTGTTTGGTTGTGCACTTAAGTAATCAGATCAAATTTGCCAAACAGTCACTGCTAAAGGTTTTTATGTTTTATATTGTGAAATACTATTTTAAATTGTAAGTTGCTTGGAGCACCTTGGTGGAGAGCGACTAATTAAGAAATAAAGAACCAGCCAAAATACAGGGATTGGGGAAAGGTAGGCTTTTAGGCACTGAAAGGTTATTACTACCATCACCTCTCCCACTAGCCGTGTTGCTTAGATCAGTTTGGATTTACAGTCCAATAATTTCTGGAGAAACTAATTAATTTCCAAATCCAATGACAGGAGATAATAAATAATTCCATGCAAACTGATATGTTCTACAAGATGCACTAAATACAATTTTCTTTACTATAAGGTGCTTGAAAATGTCTCCTCAAATCACTGCAAAGAAAGCGCCAAAACCAAACAAAAACATAGTTATGAAATATATTTGGACATTCAAATGTTTAAGAGAAGTCATAGGAAAAGCTCTGACAAAAAAATGTATCTTAAGAACTAACATCTAAATCAATGGTTCTCAACCTGTGGGTCCCCAGATGTTTTGGCCTTCAACTCTCAGAAGACCAAAACACCTGGGGACCCACAGATTGAGAACCACTGATCTAAATGGAAAGAATGACAACGTGTGGGAAATTCCATTCCACAGCTACAGCATTTGTTAAAAAAGAAACTGCCTTAAATTACAAAAGAAAGTATCCCAGTAATAAAAAGAGAAACTTGAAAGCATGCAGCAAAGCAATAAAAGACGTACCGTTTTTGAGCGCCAGCATCTGCAGTATACTGCTTTAGTGTGACATAAATCCTCAATGTTGATTTCATTTACTACTTTGGGATTCTCCTTCTGGATCTTGAGGTTAATCAAACTATCCTTCTGCTGCTTCTTCTTGGGAAGGAATGGACGAATAGCAAGGTATCCAAGCAGAGCGAGGACACCCAGGAAAGGCAACAGTCGCAGCCATTCTGAAACTGAGCACATACCAGACACGTATGAGAGAAAGCATTCATCAATGTGGATAGTCTTTAAAATCTTATAAATATGTTGATTTTATATGCTCATGTATTGCATTTTATGTGTTGTATGGCACCATTGTGTACTATTTTGTAAGCCGCCCCGAGTCCCTATGGGAAACAGTTTATTTTTTATTTTTTGTCATGTCAGGAGCAACTTGAGAAACTGCAAGTCACTTCTGGTGTGAGAGAATTGGCCGTCTGCAAGGACGTTGCCCAGGGGACGCCAGGATGTTTTGATGTTTTACATGAGGCTTCTCTCATGTCCCTGCAATGGGGAGCTGGAGCTGATAGAGGGAGCTTATCCACGCTCTTCCTGGATTCGAACCTTGACCTGTCGGTCTTCAGTCCTGCTGACACAGGGGTTTAACCCACTGCGCCACCGGGGGCTCCTATGGGAGATAGTGATGAAATATAAATAAAGTATCATCATCATCATCATCATCATCATCATCATCATCATCATCATGACGCTTTGTTATTAGGTACCTGCTCTAAGAAAATGCATTTACTATTATTATTATTATTATTATTATTATTATTATTTTACTGACACAAAAACATAGTATGTCACAGCAAATGAGATATATATGCTGGATTTTGTATCACAAAATCACAAGTTGAACACTTTCCAAGCATCTAGGACTGTGTGATGTATTTTCGAATGATACATGCAGTTCTAAGTAAGGTGGCCTTTTGCAGTTGACAGATCGTGATTTTGTCAATGTTTATTGTTTCCGAATACCGGTTGAGATCTTTTGGCACGGCACCCATTGGGCCAATGACCACTGGGCCCACCTGTACTGGTTTATGCCAGAGCCTTTGCAGTTCAATTTTGAGGTCTTGATAACAGCTGAGTTTTTCCAGTTGTTTTTCCTCAATGCGACTGTCACCTGGTATGGTGACATCAATAATCCAAACTTTTATCTTTTCCACAATCGTGATCTTTGGTGTATTGTGTTCCAAATTCTTTGTCAGTCTGGATTCGAAAGTCCCACAGTATTTTTGCGTGTTCATTTTCCACTACCTTTGCAGGTATTATTATTATTATTATTATTATTATTATTATTATTATTACTATTATTATTATTATTGTAATGCAAGCCCTTACTTGGCAATCCAAATTTATTGAACCACTGATGCTAGGTCATACAAAATTGCACCACTTTTAATTGAGGCTTTTCGTTTTCATTTGGCCACCTCAAAGCAGTTGTAACATTTGGTTGGTCAATTTAAATACTGTGGCTCCCTGTTGGATTTTACACACAATTTTTACACCCAAGTGTTAATGAATACAAAGCAACAAGGCATTTTTAAATAAATCAGCAAAAGGTAATTACTGCAACTTAGGCCCTGGGACCAATTACACATGATTAAAATTACTTCCCACATTCACATCCACAGTACTCATCCACCATTTATCATTTAGTGGAACTTGCACAAATTTATTATTCCCTCCAAAGTCCGGGAAATAATGGAATGCAGGTAAACAGCAATTCTTTGAGAATACATCAAATAGCAAGTGTTTGTGCAAGAGATGCTGCTCAAATATTGGGTCTTCACTGCTTGGAAACAATTCCAAATGTTATTCATTGTTATTATTCAGTCATGGCTATTTGATGACAGACATTTGCAGGAAGTTAGACCTGTGGTCCATTTAGCTATGAATGATTGATAATGACTGAAAGCAGTTCTCTATGGTTTCAGACAGGTCATTCCCATTTCTACTTGATAGTGTGAAAGATCTACTTGCAAAGCATATTTTCCGTTTCTGAGCTAAGACTCTTAGAAGTTAAAGAATGTGTTTGGGTTGGGTTTTCATTTTCGAAGAGGCACCACAGACCAGAGAACTAGGTGAACAGCTATCTTTATAGGTGATAACAATTATTATATCAATTGCTAGAGTGTGTACACTCTCTACAGGTTTTGGTTCTGATGTTGGCAGGACCTGCAAGCAGCAAAGGGCACACGTCCACTCCCCTGCTAGAGAGATAAGTTTATATTTGCATGAGAAACCAAGAAATTCCAGTGAACCAAGAATGCAAATTAGTTGTTCGGGAACACAATGGGCCCTTAGTATCTACTGAGTTTTAGTTCCAGGACCCTCCATGGGTATCAAAATCTGTGGCTGCTTAAGTCCCATTATATACAATGTCACAGTATTGGTGTCCTTATATGAAATGGCAAAATCAAGTTTGGTCTTTTGGATTTTTCAAAATACTTTCAAGCCATAAATACAAGAATACAGGAAAACAGAACTCATGCGAATAGAGGGTAGACTGTAAAATGCAAAACTAGTACAACTATTTAGGCCAAAAGATTACATTCCCCACTCCCACATAGATTACCTATTTGTACACATTGTGCTTATATTACACCTGCATCAAAGAAAAGATTCACTTGAATTTATTGCCAAAATTCTACATTATTTATTTTATTATTTATGTCTAACTAAGTAACTACTAATTTCAACTAAGGTTGAAATTAAATCCAGAAGATAGAGGTTCCCCTGGTCAGCCAGAAGGTGCATCAGGATGTGGAATTACAGCCTGTGCTGGATGGGGTCACACTCCCCCTGAAGACCCAGGTCAGCAGTCTGGGGATGATCCTGGATGCAGCGCTGACCCTGGTGTCAGCGGTGGCCAGGAGCATCTTTGCACAATTACAGCTTGCGCACCAACTGCACCCATACCTTGAGACACCAGATCTGGCCATAGGAGTCCACGCTTTAGTCACATTCACTTAGACTACTGCAACACTCTCTACGTGGGGCTGCCTTTGAAGATAGTTTGGAAGCTTCAACTGGTTTGAGATTGGCAACTAGATCACTAACTGGAGAGAATGCCTCTAGAACATGGCCATAAAGCCCGAAAAAACCTACAACAACCCAATCAAGGTGAATTTTTTGCGTTCAGATTTTATGTCATTATATATTTTTTGTTTGATTACACTGGGCTTAATTTATTGATGTTAGACTTTTATGTTGGTTTGATATGTGGGGTTCCTCTAGGATTATTATGTTGATATCTGTCTGTTTATGGAGGCACTGAATGTTTGCTGTTGTATGTTGGAATCCGTCCTGAGTCCCCCTTGGGGAGATGGGGTGAAATATAAATAATAAATTATTATTACTATACTCCTTCCCCACCACCCCAAAGCCCACTTTACTAACAAGCAGCAAAGGAAGTCTGTATTCAGTTGTCAATCTAGGCACAAGGAGGATCACGTTTCTACCCGCCTCCCACAATGAGGACTTGCAACATGGATCTTACAGCTTCACTTGCTGGTGGTAAAGAGCTGGCAGCATGATCCACAGATGAAGTGACCTCTTTCACTAGATGTACTTGCTGGCAAAAGAGGAGACATTTACAGAACAGTTACAAATCTGTAACTCTAGGTTTTGAGATAGAACTCCATTACAGAACCACCAACCTGCTTCCCTGGAGACTAGGATGCGAAACAATGGCTTCAAACTACAAGAAAGGAGATTCCATCTGAACATGAGGACGAACTTCCTGACTGTGAGAGCCGTTCAGCAGTGGAACTCTCTGCCCCAGAGTGTGGTGGAGGCTCCTTCTTTGGAAGCTTTTAAACAGAGGCTGGATGGCCAGCTGTCAGGGGTGATTTGAATGCAATATTCCTGCTTCTTGGCAGGGGGTTGGACTGGATGGCCCAAGAGGTCTCTTCCAACTCTTTGATTCTATGATTCTATGACTGAACTGGCTAGGATTGAAATTCTGTACATAAATGGAAGTGTGTTATAGAACTGTGTAAGGTATACTTCCAAGCGAACCAGCAAGTGAGATCCAGTATAATATAGAATCACATGAATCATACCTTTACAATATATTTACAAAGTTAATATCCAGCATGAAGGCTTCTCAGTGTGGTACTATTCCAGCTTGTTCTACACCACAGAATTAATGCATTAACGAAGGCTAAGGTCCTTGGAAAACCACAACTCCTGTGTTTCCATAGTACTGAGGCATGGCAGAGATCAAACTGCATTAATTGCATAATGTAGGGACAGCCTCAAGCAAGTACAAATAAGAAGGCTATTTTTGTTTCTATGCTTTCTTTGCAATGCATCTTTATTTCTAAAACCATTTTCAGAAGGGGCTGAAGATATTCCTCTGACTCAGTCGCAGACACTCTGCAGAGAACTGATAAAAGCTATACAGCTGTTCTTAGCAGTTTAATCAATTATACTATTATATAAAAAAGCACAGTCATCATGAGATTCAAGTGTACATTTCAGCAGCGCTGTTGGGAACACGAACAGGAACTGAAAGAAGAAAGACCTGACTTGGGAGTTCAACACAGTGCTCATTTAGCTGTATTTATTTTCTTTTTTTATTTCTTCACTTTACATCCACAAGGGCTCACTTTTGATGGAAATCATATTTTCTTATGGATTTCAATACTTCTTTTAGTTAAAATTGTATAAGCATAGCATGAAAGAAAGAATACCAGTATGTAAAAGCAGATCACAAGCAAAAATTATGTTTCTTGCAAACCGTGCCAATGCAAACTGGGTGTAAGATGCTTTACATGCTTTTTTTCTTTATGAAACTTAGTGCAACCTTAAGCATCAGATGTAGCAAGAAGTGAGCTCAAAATGACCATGTATGTTTAGCACTGCAAAATATAGACTTCTTGACTATTCTTTCATCCCATGTCTTTTAAACATTTTTTTCTACACGAAAAAAAATATGATCCTGAAAAGCTGAATTACAAATATGCAGCTTTTTGGTCAACTTTGCTGATACCCCCCCCCCCCCCCCCCCCCCCCCCCAGTGACAGGTTAAACCAATGACCTGCTCAACTTGCTGACAAAAAAGGCTGGAGGTTCAAATCCGGGGAACAGGGTGGGCTCCCACTGAAACGAATTGAGGATACACTTATAATGTGTTTAAAAACACAAACAAAGTTAAAAACTTGTCATTATGCTAAATGTC